AACCAGGAGAGTGAGATTAGAGTTGATGCTATCAATGAAAGGGCCAATTGAGCTACAGTTATTTCCACTCCGTTTCCTGGACTTTCGTCTGAACAAACCATATAGCAAAATTACTTTGCTCCTTAGAGATGTAGCCTGAGGCTTGCTTCATACATTTTGTCTTGCTGCATCATCAGGATAAGAACAGTCACGAGAAAGTACAGGTCTTGAAAGGGTACGGCTTAACTTTTTTTGCTTTGAAATAGTGTTAGGTAATTATGGACATGGCTGGCTTTGCTACTGCAGATACTAAATGACTCTTGAAGGTGTCATTGAGTGTCTTAAACTGCACCTTTTAATTAATTTAAGGGCACACAGCACTGTTAGTGTGACAGTTAGATGTTATGTCAATTTGTGTTGGGAGGATTCTCCCATGATCTGATCTAGCATAGTGTGGACTCTTCTGAGAATCAAGCAGTTGTTGGAAGAATAGATCTTTTTATTCAAGTCACAGCCTCCATATGATTGAGGGAGGTTTCATTCAGGGTTTGGCCTACTCTTAGTGTGAACTAACAATGTGTGGAAGCTAGCTGACTTTTACTGCTGAATTTGGATCTTGCAACTGGTTCATCAACCTCCTGTTGAGTTGCCTGCGAATCCTAGGAGCCATGAGCAGACCCCCAACCTTGGTTTCCTTCAGCTTGTATTCCTTCGACTTGGCATCACCAGCCTGTGGTCTTCCACTCCATTGCCTGGACGTTTGTCTTCATGCTTCCTGTTCGTCAGCTCCTGCAGCTACAGAAGTCAGAAGAAATCTTCACTTTACATTGAAGTCAGATGACTCGTGGACTTTCCTTTACAACTGTGTGAGCCTTTTCTTGATATAAATCTCTTTGATATAATCTCTTTAGATACCAGCATCACTGGTTTTTCTTCTCTAGAGAACCCAGCCTAACACATTTGGTACTGGGAGTGGTTGTAAAGAAACAATATAGTAAAGATTAGTTTCCTAAACTGATTCTCCAGCCTATTTAGACCTAAAAGCACTGAGAATTCTGTCTATGTTAGTAGAAACCCGTCTGCCACTATTAATGAAGAAGCGATGTTAATCCTTGGTGTAAGGTGGCAAAACTAATACTCAAAATAGCACAACTGATAGAAAAACTGTTGGTGAGAAATGAGGCTCTGGGTGATTATGTGTTTGCTTCTGGTACCACAATTTTAAGATAATTTGTTAGGAAGATAGTTAGCTGGTACTAATAGACAAATTGTTAATACAAGAGATGAACTCTGAGCTTATTCTGGATATGGATTTTCCTTCCCTGCACAGAATGCTTCTGCCCAAACTACCATTCATGGACTTACAGAATGCACCAGCATGCTATTCTGCACACCAGCGCCTCAGATCAAGGGGCTCACTTCATAGCAAATGAAGTACAGCAAAGGGTCATGCTCATGGAATCTACTAGTCTTGCCATGTTATCCATCATCCTGAAGCAACTGGCTTGCTAGAACATTTAAATGAACTTCTAAAGATCCAATTATGGCACCAACTATGTGACAACATCGCAGGGCTGGGGCAATGCTCTCCATGAGGCTATATATGCTCTAAATCAGCATCCGCTATACGATGCTGTTTCTCCAATAGCCAGGATGCATGGAGGTGGAAACAGAAGTGGCACCGTTCATTCTTATACCTAGTGCCCCACTCACAACATTTTTGCTTCTTGTCTCTGCATCTTTGTGCTTTTGGGGTCTGGAGGCCTTAGCTCCTAAAGGAGGAATAGTCCCACCGGAGACTATCGAACGGGGAGCTAAGAATGCCTACTGGCCATTTTGAACTCTGCAACCTTCCAGATTGACAGGCAAAGAAGGATTTGATTGCATTGAATGGTGTGATTGACGCTGACTACCAAGGGGAAATTAAATTGGTATTGCAGACTAGAAGTAAAGAAGAATATGCCTGGAGCATAGGAGATTACTTCTGGCAGCTACAGAAATCAGGAGAAACCTTCAGTTTATCCATAAATTTGAACCGGACCTACCCACTTTTACAATTGTATTAGCTATTTCTTGATCTAAATCTCTCTATATATACATATACATACTAACATCACTGGTTTTACTTCTCTTAATAATCCAGCATACCAGTTAGGCTCTGTGAAGTTTTTGGGTTTTGTTTTTTTTTGGGGGGAGGTGTACATGAATAGAACACAGTTCTTGCTCTAGGAAAAGTACTCTAGAAAATTATCATATGCACTCAGAAAAGGACCAAAAACAATATGAAAATATGTATTTGATGATGATTTTGAGTACACATGAAATATGTTTGAACCAGCAACAAAGGAGTGGTGGGGACCCAGCCTATATTGTCCTAACAGAACAGCATCAATGTTACAGCCATGAACACCAAGCAACACAGGACTGTAAAATAGCAAATGGCAGATAATTCACAGTATATACAGAACTTTGCTTGAGCAAGATGATAGTGATGCAAAAAGGGAACATAAGAATACATAACTATAATATGAATATTATACATAAACAGAGAAGCAAGTATATCTTGGGGTGGGGAGGGTGAGAGAGAAGCTACTCCTTTCATAGAACAATAAGATGGTGTGGTGAAAATAATGTAAGTTTTGATTTCAGACCAAATATGATTCAAGTACTAGCTATTCTACTTATTGTATGAAATTAGGCACACTATTTTCGGCATGCCTCGTTTCCCCATAACTTTTGTGGGCTATTAGAGTGTGAAATTGCTATTAGTATTAAATTTGATGCTATATGAAGTGTCTAGCTGAAGCAGGCACTCAACAAGTGGTGCTAGTTTTTGGTATCTGTTAAAGCATCCTACTGGGCTATTGTTTTATGATCTGTGTTCTCCAATACACTTGGGGAACTTCTTACAAATGGGACTTTGTCTTAATAACCTTGGTATTTCACATGCCTAATATAGTGTACTAAGAATCCTGATGGCTTAGTGGGTTAAGCAAAGGGCTGCTAATCACAGGTCAGTAGTTTGAAACCACCAGCTGCGCCTTGAGAGAAAGATGAGGCTTTCTACTGTAAGGATTTAGTTTCTGAATCCCACAAGGGTAGTTCTCTATTCTAAAAAGTTGCTATGAGCTGGAATCAACTTCATGTCAGTGAGTGTTTTCTTAGGGAGTACAGTGACTGACTCATGTAGATCCCCAATAAATTTGAAACAAGAAGAATCACAAACACTACATTTAGAACATCATGATGGTTTCAAATGAAGTGTACTTACTTTGCACCACTCTCTGTGCTAGGAGAATTTCATGGATCATTATATTGAATCCTCACAACAATCCTTTGAAAGTGGGTATGAGCATCCCATACAAATGATGGGGATATCAAGCTTTGAAAGCTCCCAAAGTTTACACAGCTAATGAGTGGAGATGGAGTCCAGACCTCGTCAGGCTGTCAGGCTCCAGCAGCCACACTCAGCTAGCAATGTAGAGAATGGCTTTCCCTCTTTCTCAGTCTTTTATTAGCTGAGGAACTTTTCATGGACCAATAGGAGTTCCAGAAGCTGAGTGAGTACCAAAAACGGAGAACTGTGGAAGGAGTGAGCATTCTTAGCTAGGCAACAGCTTTGGAGAGAGGTCTGACGTGTGGCAGAGGGAGAGATAGGGAATTCTGAAATCAGGAGGGTCTGAGGCTCAGGCAGCGAAAGGCTATGCCAAGCTGCAGTTCAGGTTCTCCCTAATCCACAGGACACTGGGTTGGGGCCAAGGGAGCCCAGAGCCTCAGTAGGGAACAGAAGGGCAGCAGAAAGGCAACACGGGCCCCACAGCCCAGCATAAATGGTTTGGAGTTTAGTCTAGGGAAAGCATGGAAGCAGAATCAGGAGGAGGTCTGGGGGAGGACTCGCAGCTCTTCAATTTCAGGAAATGGTAATGTCTCTCAGAGGCAAGCATTTCTTCTCACTTCTCATTTCTACCTTTCTGGCCTCAGTGTCCTCCCACCTCCCCCTAGCAACAGCTCCCTGATGATTTTTCTGTCTCTCCTTTCAACCCAATGCCAAATGAAGAATCAACCTTATCACTTATCATACCTCTTCAAATCACTTATCTTCCTTTGGTAGAACTTTCAATCGTTCTCTGATTGTTGGAGTCCAAATCCTAGGCTTGGCTTTCAAAGCTTAACTTGGACCAATTCTTCAGCAAATTTCTCAACTGGAGGGTGGTGTCTTGAGTCCTCCGGGTTCACAGCTCAACTCTAGCCTTCCCATAGCTTGTTGAAACACCCCCACCCCCACCCCCTTCGTTAAGACCTGGTTCCATTCCATGGCCAGGAATCTTTCCCTGGCCAATTATTCCAGCCGAGAGACAACCTTTGTTTCAGAGGCTCCATTTCTACTATTCAGGCGAAGGATGTGGGGTGTGGGGTGGGGACTTAATTCTTGCGAAGGTTCTCCCTAATCCTAGCCTACCTAGCCTACGATCGAGCATTCAATAAATGGGGAATGAATGGGTGTCTGAGAGAATGACCATACCACTGGTCTAGGCCTACATCTCTTTTCCTCTGGAGTTGGGAGTTGGGCCTCCAGGCGCAGCCAAACTGCATAAGCTCCGACTCTCTTTCAGAATCACCGGGACATTTCCGTGTCACCTCTTTCCACCGTTCGGCTCTGACCTGAAGACCACGTTGCGTCCAATTCTCGGAGAACGCATTCGGTGGGAATCGGGTCACTTTCGGGAAACAAGGTCACCGGCGCCCAATACCCTGTGGGGGGCCAGGGCGCTGCCCCCAAGACTGGGCAGTTCAGCGTCGCCCCTAGCTTTCCCATTCGCGGCCATTGGGCCGCCTCGGCTAGCGCCCTCCCGTCGGGGCGGGGCTCTCCCTCCTTTCCCCATCTTTCCCAGGTCCCCTCCTCTATTTCCTTGGGTGGGGACTTTGGGAGCCGGAGGCGTGGAGGGGCTGCCGAGGGGCGTCCGGTTACATCTCCGCCCTTCCTCCGCCGTTCGGGCGCCGCAGCTCCGGGGTCGGTGGGACGGCAGTCGGGGACCATGGTGGCCGCGCGCGCTGGGAGCGGGGCTGCGCGGACGTGGGCGCCGCTGCTGCAGCTGCTGCTGGCGGGGCTCGGGGGCTGCCTGCGCCGCCAGGAGCTCTTCCCCTTCGGCCCGGGGCACGGGGACCTGCAACTGGAAGCCGGCGACGACCGCGTCTCCCCCGCGCTGGAACTGAGCTGGGGGCTTCGCTTCTACGACCGCTCGGACATCGACTCTATCTACGTGAGTGCGCTCGGGTGGGGGTGCGCGCTGCGGGAGGGAGGGGAGCCGCCGTCGCTCCGAGGGGCCGGAAGGGAAAGGCGGGGGGCCAGGGGCGCCGAGGAGCCGACGGGCGTGGGCGTCGCGGGCGGGCCGGGACCCGGGACTCAGCCGGTGGCGCCTGAGTCTCTCCAGGAGCGTGTGCGCCTCTGCGGATCGACTCCCTCGAGCCAAGGGCCCCCGCCGGCCGGTCGTCGCTCGAGGAACGCGCGGCGTGGGCGACCTGGCTCGCTCCTGGTGCGCGCCCCCTCTTCGCACGTTGGTTCCACCCGGGGATCCACACTCAAAACCGGACCCAGGGCCAGCAAGTCGGTGCTGACTTAGCGACCCCCAGTGCGGTTCCGAGACGGTAGCGATCTCTGCGAGTAGAAAACCCAGTCTTTCTCCCGCAGGGCGGCTAGGGGTTTCGAACTGGCAGAGCGTGTGCGTCGCAGCCCAACGCTTAACGACTGCACCATCGAGGAAGGGCATTTTCTGCGAGGTGGCTGGAGGCAGAGTCGCCCGGGGGCAATCTGTCCAGTCCTGGCGTTGTCGGTGCCGGGGGGTCGAGGCCCAGCCAGCCTGGGTGGAGCCTAGTGAGGCTCGGGGCCTCCCCAGGTTGTCGCTGGTCCTGGGGCACAGCGACGCGCGGGCACGGGACTCCCGTGTCTATGGCCAAAAGGCAGCAACTCCCGCGACTTCCGTACTAACCCAGCCCAGCCGGCCTTTCCGCTCCGGGCACTTGGCCGACTGTCCTCAGTGAGCTACACACACTCCTTGGCAATGATTCGGCTCAGCTAGGGAGCACGTTTCAGAATCCAGAGTTCAGAGCCTGGAATTCAGGACACCCTGGTGATCTGATTTCCTGTAGCGCAGCTTTGTCCACTTGGGGCCCCAATGAGGAATGGGGCCAGATGACCTTTCGTTCTCCCACGCCTCCCCAAAACAGGCCTGTAGGGCGCTGTCAACTTGGTAATGTCCCTTATGGCGCCGCCTTCTCCAGCTGCGCACCATGTGGATTTCATATAAAGCTGTGCTTCTTCCAGGAGCTGGGGGAACAAAACAAACACGCGGCCGGAGCCTGGCCGGAGCCTGGCCTGCGGCTGAAAGGGCTGTGTGTGCTGGTGGCCCGGGCAGATTACTAGATGGACAGCCCGCGCGTGGAGTGTGTGGGCTTTACAGGACAAGGAAGAACCCTAACGCCACGATTGACAGAGATTGTTGCGCACGTGGATTGACTACCAGACCCTTTTAAGGGCAGTTTTGGGAAGCTTATGGACCCTTCCTTAGAATGTTTTAAATTCATAAAATAAAGTCTGTAGGATTACCAAGGAAACCAACTCCATTGAAATACATATTAAAATATATTTTACAACACAAAATTAAAAAAAAAAACCAAACCACAAAATTGTGTGTATTTATAGATGTGCTTATTTTTAGCCACATTAAATAAGATGTAGCAGTCGATTTAGTAGCGGGATTAATAATTACTGAATTTTCAAGGTAATGAAGACAGTAAGCACCTTTGAAGACATCTTCAGTAATTATAACGTGACAGGGAAATATTTGTGACTTCTATTGGGGACAAACTCACTAAGTGCTATTGCTTCTTTGAATTGTTGCCTCCACATTGGAAGGAAATAATAAATATCCCAACCAAATCCTCCCCCCAACGCCTAAAAGCAAAGCAGTTTGCCTGCAAGTCAGTTTGCTGGGCAATAGGACTGCTGCATAGAATTTTCAAGTCTGGCTGTTTGGAAGGAGCCCTGATGGCAGAGTAGGTTACACTTGAGGCTAATTTCAAGGTCAGCTGTTCGAATTCACCAGTCTCTGCGTGAGAAAGATGAGGCTTCCGCTCCCACGAAGACGTATAGCTTCCGAAACCGAGAGGGGCAATTCTGCCCTGCTCTATAAAGACGTCTTTATGAGTAGACTTGATGACAGTGGGAGGTTGACTTTGGAAAAGTAGATCGCCAAGTCTTTATTCCCACGTACTTCTGCGTGGTTTTGTTCCTGGCTTAACTCTCGTCCACCTAACCCAGGAGTTAAACCCACTATCGTGGGGTCCACTCAATGGAGGGCAGAATCGAACTGCCCATAGGATTTCCGAGACGGGAAATCTTATAGAAGCAGATGGCTACATCTTTCTCATGAGGAAGGCTTCAAACCACCAACCTTTCAGTTAGCAGTTGAATGCGTAAACTCCGTGACGCATTCTGTGTCTCCATGAATTCTCCAACTATCAGTTAGGGGTTATCGAATATTAAAATGTGGGTTTTCCCAGGTAAGTTTACAGACCCATGGAATTCTACCCTGGAACATCTAGAGGGGTAGGTCATTGGACCCCAAATTCAGAACCCCTGTGTTAAAATGTAGTATCAGACTAACCACATTACGTTCTAAAGATCTGTAATATCTATTATTGGACAAAAATTATTGTCCAACCATTGCTCTTAAATCTATTTTATTTACTTATATTTTTAAAAATACTTTTATTGGAATATAATTCACATATCATACAATTCAATAGTTTAATTATATTAAGAAGAAAAAGTAGTGCAATCTCCACCAAAATCAATTTTAGAACATTTTCTTCATTCTTGTACTCATTGTTATTAGCTCCTAATTTTCCCCCACCTCCCCTGCCCTTGGTTTTTGTTAGGTACTGTCTAGTCAGTTCCCAATCACAGTGACCCCCGTGTACAATAGAGCATCCTGTACCATCCTCACAATTGTTCTTATGTTTGAGCCCATTGTTACAGACACTGTCTAATCCTCTCATCGAGGGCTTTTTTTTTCACTACCCCTCCACTTTGTAAGCCTGATATCCTTCTCCAAGAACTGGTCTCTCCTGAGTACATGTCCAAAGTATGTGAGATGAAGTCTCTCTCCATCCTTGCTTCTAAGGAGCATTCTGGCTGTACTTCTTCCAAGACAGGTCTGTTTATTCCTTTGGCAGTCTGTGCTACTTTCAATATTCGTTGCCAACACCGTAGTCCAAATGCTTGATTTTTCTTCACTCGTTATTCAGTGTCTGACTTTCACATGCATAGGAAGCAATTGAAAATATCATGGCTTGGGACAGGTGTACCTTAGTTCTCAAAGTAACCTCCTCACTTTTCAACACTTGAAAGAGATCTTGTGCAGCAGATTTACCCAATGCACCTAGGTGATTATTAATCTGGCTACTGACTCTATAGGTTTACCCATCCTGGATTTCATATACAGAAAATTAAAACAAAAATAAGAAACAAAGACAACTCAACAACAATGGCAAAGTAAAACAGGAAAATCGCAATTGAAAGAAAAAATATTAAAAACGGAAATAACTTTAATATGGATCAAAAGAGAGATTAAATGATAGGGTGTTACATTTTAATTATATCAGTCAAAATTGACTTTATAGTGCTCTGTGAAGGCTATTCACATCCAGAGTCAATGGTCAGAAGGAATTCACTGGAGTCTTAATCCACTTGGGAGATAAAAAAAATCCTGCAAATGGATTTTGGCCTTTCACTGATATCTGGAGCTTTCTACAAACCAGGTGTTCACAATTTTAGCTCTGATACTGTTCCTTCCTCTGGATGTGGATTTTATTATTTACAGTTCTTGGATCACACTGGCTGATGTGCTTTCTCTGTGTGGACTTAGCTGACAGTTAGATGGCTACTTATTTTAAAACAAGCCTATTATGTCCATATCTTCAGTCATCTTTTCATGAACTCCTACATCTCTTTGGGCTTACTTTGCATTTTAATGAGAAAGAATCTCAGGTGCATTTACATATTTTATGTGTGCTAGCGGTTGGGTTCTCTTGAAAGTAGGTTCTGAGATGGAAATTAGAAAACAATTTAATTAGGAGGAACCCTGCAGATGCACACCTGTGGAAAGGAGAATGAAGCTTAATGGAGAGAAGCTGAGCTGCAATGCAGTCTCAAGGAAGGTCACAGAGGGCAGCTAGGTTTGCTTTAGAGATTTATCAAGTTCCTGTGTTCTTTTCGCAGTCTATGATAATTTAAATATTCTTCACCAACATCATAGTTTAAAGCTGGGTTTTTCTTCAGTCTTCCTTATTCAATGTCCAACTTTCTCATGCACATGAAGTGATTGAAAATACCATGGCTTTTGTTTAGACAGCATACAAGCACAACAGAATCATGCTGGGTATTCAAAGGAATAGCGTGTCCAGAGAGAAAAACCATGAAATGCAAAAGCCTGTCTCTATGAAATAAAATTGTTACAGATTCCAAAAAGAAAAAAGAAAAAGATGACAGCAATTGTACAATTATGCTAGATCTAATGGAAGTATGGATTGTAATAATATCTGTAAGAGCTCCTAATAAAAGTTTTTTTTTTTAAGAAGAAAATACCATGGCTTGAGTCAAGCATACCCTAGTCCTTAAAGTAACATCCTCACTTTCCAACCCTTTTAAGAGGCTTTCGACAGCAGATTTACCTAGAGCCCCTAGGTAATTATAAATCCAGTTAATGTCGCTGGATGGCTTCTGCCCCATTTCATTGACTACTCGTTGGGTAACAGCTGTCCTAGAAGAAAGGTGTGACATTAGAGGCGGCAGACATTTTCCAGAAGGGTGAACAACTGAAGGCTGCATTCCTAGGAACTGAAAAGGAGTATAGGTGTCACATGCACTGTAATCTGGAACTTTATAGATGCTCTTTTGAGCTGATAGAAACCCTCTAAGTGAGAAGATGAGTTGACAAGGATTGTGAGCATGAACTTGATTCTGTACACTGTTTTGGATATTAGACTAGGGTTTTTTAAAAGAATATAACACAGCAGAGCATATAACCATTCATCAATTTCTACATCTCCAGTAACATTGGTTATATCCCACATGTGATATCAACATTTCTGTTATTTTTACCCATAGTGTTTCATCATCGATTGAGACTCCTCTAAACTTCTCCTTTGTGTTTTAGAGTTATTATTGACACTTCCATCTCATATGTGGTCGCTAAGTGAT